AGAGGAGAGAGGGGAGAAAGAAGGAGAGGGAGAGAGGGGAGAAAGAGGGAGGGAGGGGGGGAGAAAGAAGGAGAGGGAGAGAGGGGAGAAAGAAGGAGAGGGGAGAGGGGGAGAAAGAAGGAGAGGGAGAGAGGGGAGAAAGAAGGAGAGGGAGGGGAGGGGAGAAAGAAGGAGAGGGAGAGGGGGAGAAAGAAGGAGAGGGAGAGAGGGGAGAAAGAAGGAGAGGGAGAGGAGGGGAGAAAGAGAGGAGAGGGAGGAGAGGGGATAAAGAGGAGAGGGAGAGAGGGGAGGAAAGAAGGAGAGGGAGAGAGGGGAGGAAAGAAGGAGAGGGAGAGAGGGGAGGAAAGAAGGAGAGGGAGAGAGGGGAAAGAAGGAGAGGGAGAGAGGGGAGAAAGAAGGAGAGGGAGAGAGGGAGAAAGAAGGAGAGGGAGAGAGGGGAGAAAGAAGGGAGGGGGGAGAGAGAGGGGAGAAAGAAGGAGAGGGAGAGAGGGGAGAAAGAAGGAGAGGGAGAGAGGGGAGAAAAGAAGGAGAGGGAGAGAGGGGATAAAGGAAGGAGAGGGGAAGAAGGAGGGGAGAGAGGGAGAAGAGGAGAGGGAAGAGAGGGGAGTAAAGAAGGAGAGGGAGAGAGGGGATAAAGAAGGAGAGGGAGAGAGGGGTGAAAGAAGGAGAGGGAGAGAGGGGAGAAAGAAGGAGGGGAGAGAGGGGATAAGAAGGAGAGGGAGTGAGAGGGATAAAGAAGGAGAGGGAAGAGGGAGAAAGAATAGGAGAGGAGAAGGGGATAAAGAAGGAGGATGTGACGAGAGGGGGATAAGAAGGTGGAGGGAGAGGGATTGAATCAAGAAGTTCAAGGTTAGTTTAGTTTGCTAAGTTTTTAATGTTTAGAAGAATAAGGTTTTAAAGTAAGAGGTTACCGTGTTACAGGTGTTACGGGTGTTACAGGTGTTACAGGTGTTACAGGTGTTACAGGTGTTACAGGTGTTACAGGTGTTACAGGTGTTACATGTGTTACAGGTTTTACAAGTACTACAGGTGTTACAGGTGTTACAGGTGTTACAGGTGTTACATGTGTTACATGTGTTACAGGTGTTACAGGTGTTACAAGTACTACAGGTGTTACAGGTGTTACAGGTGTTACAAGTACTACAGGTGTTACAGGTGTTACAGGTGTTACAAGTGCTACAGGTGTTACAGGTGTTACAGGTGTTACAGATGTTACAGGTTTTACAGGTGTTACAGGTTTTACAGGTGTTACAGGTGTTACAGGTGTTACAAGTACTACAGGTGTTACAGATGTTAATGGTTTTACAGATGTTACAGATGTTAAAGGTGTTACAGGTGTTTCTGATTTTACAGGTGTTCTACATGTTACAAGTTTTAAAGATGTTACATGTGTTTCAGGTGCTGCAGATGTTACAGTTGTTACAGGCGTTACAGATGGTCACACTGGCCCTGAGACCCTTAACTCTGTTACAGGTGTTACAGATGGTCACACTGGCCCTGAGACCCTTAACTCTGTTACAGGTGTTACAGATGGTCACACTGGCTCTGAGACCCTTAACTCTGTTACAGGTGTTACAGATGGTCACACTGGCCCTGAGATGTTTACCTCTGTTACAGGTGTTACAGATGGTCACACTGGCCCTGAGACCCTTAACTCTGTTACAGGTGTTACAGATGGTCACACTGGCCCTGAGATGTTTACCTCTGTTACGTGTTACAGATGGTCACGTGAACCCTGAGTTATCAATCGTTCTCACAGAGACTGCCAGGAATGTTTAACATAAGCAAGAACATTCTGTACATTACGTTCTATTAAGTCCATGAATCATAAATTATCATCATTAAAAGGTATACAAGGGATGCGATAGCCCTGAGGACCCCACGAAGGAAGGAGCCCTACAAATCAGGGATACTCACTATCTGGACACGCTACTCTACGAGAATATACATTTTTTTTGTTTGCGAATCAGTTCTTGTGATGTGTGGGACAGATACTGCGATGTTTGTTGATACGTTGTACTGTAATCTATGTGTATTGTTTGAGAGTGTATTTTAGGGGCTGCAGACCCACAAGTTGCTTGCACTGCGGCAACCCACACAGTTTACTTGCCCTGGGGCCCTCGCCAGTTGCCTACAGTTGGGCTGCCAAAAAGGCTCTTGTATTGGGGCCCACAATGTTGCTTGGCCAGGGCTCTTACAAGCTGCTTTCACTGGGAACCCCAAAGGTGCTCCCATGGGGTCTTCTCATGTTGCTTTCCCTGGAGCCGGAGCAAGTTACTTACACTTGGCACCGTATAAGCTGCTTTCATCAGGGTTCCCAAAAGTTGCTTGCACCGGGGCTCCCAGAAGTTGTTTATACTGTAGCTTCCACAAGTTGCTTGCTCTGGGGCCAAGCTGCTTGTCCTTGGGCCAACACAAACTGCTTGCCATGAGGGCACCTATAACTTTTAACAGTCATAGGTTGGCACAGCACAGTATCATGAACACTGGTATCTTGATGTAATCCAGCATACTGGGCAAGTTATCGCCGCTTCCCTACACTGTGTCGTAAGTAACCCATACATTCTGCTCTCTACACCCCTTGTCTCTCCTCTACACTCAGATGATAAGTAATCCACACATCCATACATTCTCCTTCCTG